ATCTACACCTGCCGTGGATTTTACTTTGATATTATATTAGCTATCGGAATTGTGGCCTTCTGGAACCTTTTGTTCTTGCAGTTGGCGTTGTTGGTTCACTGATCACGGATGATCTTCCAAATCCCCTCGAGCTTCGACGAGCCTTCTGGACGCGTTATGGATCTCTTCGCTTTCGATGTAACGTGAGTGTTCCCCAACTCATTAATAATAATGATACCCTCGAAACGTTTATGACCTGGTGACCCTAGTACATCAGACCACTTTGCGATGCGACCGCAAGAAGCAACTGCTTTGGCTATTTTACTTGCATGCCCTCCGAAACAGTAGTCGTCTTTCCGAAATTTCAGGAGTCATTCTTGACATGGTCCTTCAACGCTGAACATATTTTGGCAGACCCCTCTCCTAGAAATTCTCGGGGGGCTCGGGAACTCTACAGTTGTGAACATGCATCGGAACATGGTCCGGTGTTCTCGAGAGATGAGTACAGATGGTCAGAGATGATACCGTTTCATAGTATGGAAGACCGTCAGGCCCCTACACAACATCTTGGCTAGAACCATAAATTCAATCTGGCGAGAATGACTAGAATTTTGAAAGTGGACGTTACCTGTGAAACAACCTAATATTGTATTTTGTCACATTGTACAAATCTGAATGTCAAAGCGTTGAAAATCAGTACAACTCTTGACAACAGTCAGATTCATCCCTGCGCTTCAAACATTGGCAGCATATCACTAGACCATTTACCAGTGCCTGACATTTGCTGATAAACATGATTTGAAGCCTGGTCCTTGTGGTGTATAAGAATTTCATTGCAGTCGACAGTGCCTTTCCCGAAAGACGGTCTTCCATCGGTGCTGAATTTGTTCGAGTTGGACGTCGCAGGCAATGTTATGTTCAGAATTTGTGCGTGTTTGCCAGTTGCAGTCAGGCTTTTCGTTGTGCATTGCAGAAGGTGGGTGGGCCTTTAAGGATTTTTGCTCATATGGACATGATGAAGGTAGCTCTAGAACTGACATCTTTGGTCTCGTCCCCTTCAGTCTTTTCTCCGTAAAGCCGAGAACTGAGGGTGAAAGCGGAGAGCTGAATGCATTCCATAATCCTCAAGTGCGCAATTGTTTAGGGAGCTGATTCGAGCCGATTTTGTCTCATCATCAGTCGTACATAATCTAATGAATGAGGCAGCATTCGCTTTGTCGGTGGTGGAATTTTTTACGATGGCGGTATTTAGCGTTGTCACTATTCGAATGGACTCTATTGGTTAGTAGTTCAATGTCGATTCTGGGCTGTGATCCAGCGAAAAAACTGCGAGCGTTCTCTACCATCCAATATTTGTTTCAGTACTGAATCGGTACTGCAAAGTCACAGCTATAGCAGCCTCCGCGAACATGCTGATTACCTCTGCTGTCATGGTCGCTCACAAGAGATCCAGCGCGAAGGTGAATCTAGGCTAGGTTCCTACCTCAGTTATATTATTTTTGTAACAGCCTCAAGAGCATTAGGAATGTTCAGAGGCTCGATTCGATTTCAATGGTGATGGAAGCCCTCTCCACGATGGCTTTCTGTTATGTTTCGCCGCAGTATTTTCAACGTCATCATGCCAATATCTCGTTTCAGATGTGTTATTCATACTGCGAGTTACTTGAAAACGAACAAAACGTATCTGAAAGCAGGCAGGTCTCACATCATACCTCGCCTTTTGCTGAAAAACAATTCTCTGTCGCTTTCCGTAGATAAACGCTCATGAGAAATAGAAAAGAACTTGTCTTCCGCGAGTTAGTTTAGGCTCGAGAATGTAAAAAATGACTAGGAATACTTGAGCAGTGCGATATTCGCGATTCCAATATCTTAGCATATTATGTCGATTTACACTCACTACACTAGACAGAGTGTAATGGAGTTTTATGATTTGTCTCACGGCTCTGGTTTTGCACTACATTTTAGCGTCTATTAGTCATGAAATGAAGACGGCCACAATGGATATCACATTTGCGATCACGGTTCTGGATAACCTCCATCGCAAAAGTTTGAGGGAAGATTTACGTTGTAATGCAAGAGTTCGTGCAACCGTGAAAAACTGATACTGATAATGAACGATCTTCACAAGCTCGAGACCGCACAAGTTCGAAGAAGTTGTACCTTAGTAGGTAGAGGGCTGAGGGTCAATGGACAAATTACAATGTCGCAACTCTCCCTATTCGTCGATGGTTCTCAGCCCTCCCACTGACCAAGTTAGATCGAGAGCTATGTGTTTTTATAGCACGCTATATTCTCGTCCGCTATATAAAAAAGGTTTGATTGCCGGGTAACTCATTGAGCTAACGTATCACGTACCATTGCTGCGCGCAAAATACAGAGCTCGTTCCTAAGTATCGTCCGGCATGCAATACTATTAGGTTGGCACATAATTTCTGAGACACATTACGTGTATTGCTGTAATATTATGATAATTATTAGAGCTATCCAAAACAACTCCATTGCAACTCACCAGGGAAAGAGTTGAACCCTCCGTGGGACTTTGAATCGAGACCTAGACATATCAATAGAGCTTGCGACACTAGTTAGAAATACGGAAACCAAAACTGCAGAATGATTCTGAACTGCAGAATGATTCTGCCAAGGAAGTTACGAGCAGTCGAAGTTGGCTGCAAATGAGTGCTTTTGGATGAGGCTCGCTAGTGCCAAATAACTGTGTTGCCGTGGTGTAGTGGTAAGGCTCTCGCTCATCATCATGCAGGCTCATGGGTTCGGTTCCCGCTGCAGTACAGTTTTTGCAAATCATGTTCTCGTACCCAGTAGAGACTTCTATTCTAGTTTATTGACATTTATTTGAATAAGCACCTAATCACAGCTATCCTAATACCATTGACGTTTGTTGTGTGTGTTGAAATGAAGTGACTTCGTGCATAGACTCTTCTAAGCTCAGCGTTCAGTCAGAAGAACAGAACTAACTTCATCCATCTACCACTACCACTCTACCTCTTCCACTTGCCTTGCGTGACCGGAGCTGCATTCATCCTCGTCATCGCAATTATCCCTGTCCTATTCGTTTAGAGCGTTCGATTCCAGGCTCTCACCCATATCAACATCGACTCTAGCGAGGATGCCATCACGATGTATAAAAGCAAACTCGCGGCAATCTTCTTCTATGCGCGAGTTGCAGGACTGTGGTCTTCTGTGCTCCGAATTCGGCGAAAAGTATCTAAACTACCTTCGCGGAGCATTGTCAATGGAGATAAAAGGATAAAGCATTTGCCGTTGATCAATCCCTTTTTGGGATGCGGCACGCATTCTACTTCCATTTGTACATTCGTAGTGGCGTTTGAATGCGATGTGGCCTATACAATGACTTGCGGGGCCAGCCGATGTACAAGTCAGTGTTTTTATCCTCCCAGACAAGTCTGGTACCAATTAACCGACCCCGGAGGGATGGAAGGCTTGGTTGGCCCGGGCGACTCACGACCCAGGATTTGATCCCCGGACCGCTCGCGTGGTAAGCGCGCCACTTGTCACTACACCACTTCCGCCCTCAATGGAGATATTCATTAGTAACATAGCGACAACCACGTCCTTCACTCGGTCTTCACCTTCTGGCAAGGTGCTCACTCAGATATGTCAAAAACTATAGTAGAAGTCTGTATTGGTACTGCACTGAGAACCAAACCCATGACCTTTTGAAATTAGCGAGCGTCATCCAGCACGCTCATTTGCAGCCAACATTGACTGCTCGTAACTTCCTTGGCAGAATTTTGCAATTTTGGGTTTCCGCAGTTCTAACCATTGTCCCAGGCTCTATCGATATGTCCAGGATCTCAACTCAAAGTTCCAGGGGGAGTTCAGCGCTTTCCCTCGTCAGCACACAATCTCGCCTATCCGAAAGGGTAACCACCTAGTTTGCTTGCTGCTGTGTTTGGCTAGGATTCCAATTTCTTCGAAACCTATTTCTGAGCCTCTCGATCTTCCACGCGCCAAGCAACATGCAAGATTAGCCAAAAGATAGTTGAATGC